TAAGTGATTTCATTTTGTGACACAAAGACTGCTTTAATTTGGATACTTTTTTATATAAAGAAAAATACGAAATTATAAGAGCCATTGATTGCACAAAACATCTGACTGTCGAAGTGTTAAGAATTGCTTCACAGCTTCTAACCATATGGAACCATACGAAAATCAAACTACCTAAATTTCATTAATTATTTACATACTTAATACAAAACCTAGCAACAATAAATCATTACTATTTATCCATCAATTCCTACTTAACCTTCTAAATACTCCTCCATATTCCAACTACAGAAACACTTATTCCCTAACCACTATATCGCACCGTTTCAAGAAACCCTTATCAGCGAGGGTATTACCGTTGACAATACGACCAGTGTGGAGAAAAATGTTGTGCAAACTGAACGGAGCTCAACGTTATCAAAGACCTGACCGGAACCCCTTTCCGCGCAGGGACGAGGGGGATCCCTTCGCACCTGCGAGAGATTACTACGTCGAGCACCATCTTTTTTTCCGTTGGCTCTCGTATCTGTTCGCGTAGAAGCAGAGAGGAAGGCTGCAGTGCGGTTTTCAAGCGACCTCTTGACCATCTCTGGTCACCGATATACCAACGCGACGCGCGCAGCCGCTTTGGGTACGCGTTCGCTTTTATCTTCGTCCCTTTGGTTTATGACACGACCGAGGGAGGGACAGGGTGAGCTGACGAGAGAGGAGGAAAGAGAGAAAACGATAAACTCCCACGAAGAGCTGGACGTGGCCAACGAAAAGCGCACCGAAACCATTCGTCCTCCTCGTCGTCGTCTTGGTCTTGGTCTTGGTCGTCGTCGTCGTCGTTGGTGCGAGGCACATGTGCGCGAGTCGCCGAGTCGCCAGACAGATCTTTTTTGTCCCGAAGTAAAAATAATCTTTAAAACCCCGAACAGGATGCGTTGTTAGGGCTCGAGGAAGAAAGAGAGAGAGAGAAAGAGAGGAGGGAGACGGTGCGGGCATCGTCACCAAGATGGTCCACGCACGGTTTTTTCACCCTTTGGACGTTCGTCTCCCTGTAACGGGTGTCCGAAATTAACGTGCTTAGACAAAACAGGACCCTATCCAACATCGGATAGATCCTCCTTTCCGGAGCTTCGGCCGCATCTGTCGGAAGTGAAGATTCCGAGGGGGTCCTCCTGTCCCCTCTGATTTCTTCATTCTAGATAGCTGTTCCAGGTGGAGGAGAATTACCATTACTTTATTTACAGTGTAAATTCTTGTAGACAAAAAGTATTATTCAATTTGACACGTGTAAAAATGCATCGTTTACGAAGGATTAATGTTGCAGGAAGAAATAATTATCTTTGAAAATTATAAGCCGTAGGGTTCAGGAAGAATTGAAATACTTGGTCTTGGTTGAATTACCATGGACGGTAAGTTGCGCTTGTTCGAGGGCCACGTTCTTGATTCTAACGTTATCGCGGCCTGCTGTTTGACTTAACTAGGCGGTCGTGCTGCTAAATGGCACACGTGTCCACACATGGCGCAAGCGACAACGCCATCGTAACGCACGAAATAAAGAAATCGACCGAGCAGCCTCTTACACGACTGTCCGGAATTTTATGCATCGTTGGAATTGTTGCGTTGGGAGTAATTGGAAGAAGATAACTTCAGCGGTTTGAAAATACTGCGTAATATCCGTTGGGTTGCTAAGAAAGTTCCAATTGCTCCTCATATTTTTAAATTAATAATTCCTGTTTATTATAAAATTGCACCAAATGCAAAATCTACTATTTATTTATTTACAGGATAAAAATAGCATCCTATTAGTAGGCTATACTGAAAATATTAACTATTTTTTTTATTATTAAGAACCTCTGCCTTATTAGTCCGCCGCCCAAGGGTTAATATAATCCAGTAATTAAAAGAAATAAAAAGTATTCTAACAATAAGTAATATTATATTAATTATCCAAGGTACCAAGTAGAAAATAAATAATTTGAATAATTCCAATTATAGCACGGCATACACACGTCTATTGCTACTTTGGAATTTAACGTTTTAATCTCGAGGAGAATTCGAGAAATGAATATTTACAAAATTGAACAAACCGAAGAATGTTGCTGGAACTTAAGCAAGAGGTAGATTCTGTGCGTTGCAAGTCGGGACGTTTAAAAATATTGTAAAGCCTTGGAAAGGAGGCTCTAGAAGCGTCGTAGTCTCGCACCGGAGGAGTGACCGTATAAGACCTCTTCCTGTTGCCGTGGAATCGTAGAAACCCACGGGTTAAGACGCGAGGAAAAATCGTCTGAACTTGCGGACGTTCGTTTGAAACACAGTGCCCCCCACGGTAATGAATGTGGGAGTTTCACACGGGTCAACGGATCGCTGCGTTTTCTAGGGATACACACGAGAGATGCACGCGGAATTTCTCCTGGCACAGGCCAGCCCCGCACTTGTATAGCGTGCACGTCCGTAATAAACAGGCTTGATAACTTATGCATTCCGAATACAACCGATACGATCTATCTGGCACGGCGATAAATACAAAAGCGCGACGGATTCCGCGCTTTGAAATTCGCCAACGTTTTCGCGTCTCCATTATCCTGGCCAATCAAGCGATGGTAACAGGCGACTTCGGGTCATCTACCATACGTCTTTGAAGTATTCTTTGAATTAAAAATAGTAAAGAAATTTATAAAATTTATAAATGTGTTTTCGACGTTGAATTGAATTGTGTAAAAATGAATTTTGTAATGATATTATTCAATAAAGAAATTACAAAAAGACTGATTATCTTGTGAGATCATTACACCTGACCCTTTCATATTTCACACTCACCTCCTTTCTTAAATATCCCCCAATACTTCAATATCAATTAAAATTTCATTCAAGCAAATCAAAGAAAGGAAGAAAACTACAAAAACCTCAACGTCCTTCATTCACAAAATTAAGAGGAAAAGCCGGACGGAAACGTAGTTCACAGTCGACGCACGACGTCGCGGCGCGCCCAAACCACAGATTGCCCGAGATATGGTCGACAGGTCCGCGTCCTGGAACACTGTCCAGGACCCCTGAGCCTCTGTTACAGGACCAGCAACAGATAATTTCTCGGGTTAGTTAAAAGTCACTTCAGATCCTCCCTAGGGCATCCAGTCAGTGCAGGAGCCTGGGAAACATTTTCGACACACTTTCTAAACCAAAAGAATTCATGGGGTCAAATTAAAGGCCGCTGTCCTTAAACTAGGAGGTCATCAGTGACCCCTACCGCAAATTAGATAATAATTAAATAAAAAAAAATAGAAATAATATTATTTTAAATAAGGCGGCAAATGGAAAGTTAAATTATTTTGAACAAAATAGCAAATGGAAAGCATGAAAATAAAAATTCGAAATTTGAAAATTAGTTAGAATTGTCTGAGTGTAGAGGCAACCGTAATCAAGAGGATTACCAAAAAGGGTACGAAAACAAATTACTTGCCCTTATATTCAATCGATGCAAATTAAGCTTTAGCCCCCAATATTAAACGATGTGATTTGAGTACTGTGTTCTTTCGCGGGTATCAGACTTGGTTGAAGGAAAATTGAAATTCAGGATAATATCCGACTGGATTGGGCTCCTATTGGCTGTCTTTCCAAGGATCTCGATCCTTGGACGAGTAATCCTGTGGAAAGATCCGCGTCGAGGCTATCGATCCCACCACGGATGAAGGGTTTAGTCACGGAATAATTAATGTGAGAGAGCAGGTACCTCCTTGCGTACACTCGTCTACTCCACTTTCTCTGCGACTACACGCTGTACGTGTTTACGGGTGGTTTACGGGAGGTGATCGAGGATCCATGGTGTCGGGAATGACGAACGAATCGACGTGATCATTGTTCGTGGCGATCATCCAAATAGCCTCGATTCGATTTCGTTTTGTAAAGTCAAATTAGAGGAGGAGGAGGAGGAAGAGGAAGAGGATCGTCAACTTTCTCGTGTCATCTTGAGAGTCTCTCAATTATAGGTCCTTAGATGATGATTCTGATTTTTTGTGAAATAGATAAATAAGGAATTTGCGAATACAAGTGGCAAGATGAAACAAAATGTTCCAATTTGCAAAATAAAATAATGATTTGAAGTGGTTTCCTTAAATATTTTAATATCGTAAATTATTATTATGTGAAGCATGATTAACGCTATTTTTAAACCTGAGTAAAAATTGATTAAAAGAATTAGTAATTAGCGATTGTCTGCATCGGTATGCAATTAAAATAAAGAAATCATCTGTAAAATTTTTACTGTCACAGAAAGGCGAAGATCTCCTGCACGAAACACAGCATGCCATTATCCGCCCACAAACGCCAGAAGATCCCGAAAAAGGAAAGAATCCTAATGACCGTCCCATAGAAAAGGATCCTGCAAGACGCAGGGTGAAAATTAAGCGCGGACCACGGTAACGCGAGCATAACAAATGTGACACCGATCGTCAACAAAAGGCTGGCGCCGCTCCAAAGCAGCTTTAACACGCGTAGAAATTACCCCGGTAATTTAAACGCCTGGCCAGTCAGCCCGGCGTTAATCGCATCGTCACCCCGAAACCGAACGTCCAGCCAAGTCATTTCCGAAAAACCATCCACAAAACAGTTCCCTTTCGTTTTAAGCCGAGGCTCGACCAATCGGATCGAAGCATCGTGAATCGAAAGAGCTCGCGATAGCCAGCAGACATCAACGGAGACAGACGAATAAAGGAAGAAGGAATGAAATAAAAAAGAGCTTACGAGGGGTGGTTAGAGGTTTCGAAAAAAAAGCGCGGCTACCCTGGGTGCCAGATACCCGCGAGAGGATCGCGTCTCCGGCGAAAACTGTTCCCCCGACCGCGCGATACTCGGGACGAGACCCTGGCCCAGACAGAGAGGCACGATCAAGGCGGACACAGGGGAAGCCGAAGCGAGAGAAGGAAGGATCGAGGAGGGATAGAGAGACGGCTACGTACGCGCACGTACACTCGTAACCGCGCGTGTAACTGCACGCCGGGAGAGAAGGGAGACCGAGAGAGGCAAACACAGATGCTCACCGGTCGAACAGAGAGAGGCAGCCAGCCAACGAGCGACAAAGTCCCCTGTCACGGTACACTCGTGCACGACGGAGAAGGGTATACCTGGTTACCCCCACTACCGGGGGTGAAAACTACCCCGAGAGCGCGTGGGGTGTCCGGCCTCGGCGCCGAGGCGAACCGAGCGCGTCCGAAGTGAGCGCAGTGCCCGACACACCAGGTCCCGCACGGCACGACTAGGCGCACCGTCCGGCACAGTCCACTCAGAGATACGACCCATGCTGGACCATCGTCGCTCTGGTCCACGCCGGCAGCAGGCATCCAGCATCCGCGCGTCAGGCCGCACGAGACAGGAGGTCGTCGAACAGGACGACCGGGACACCGTTTCTCGTGGTCCTGGGAGCAACCAGTCGTTCGCGGCGGCAAGAACGAGGGACCAACGTCGTCATCGTCGTCGCGGTCGGTGTACAGTGTACACAATTGGCCGAGCGGAGATGCGTGACGGACGAGGATAGTTCGGTAGCTAAGTGTGGCGCGCGCTTTCGATTCGTCCGCGAACAGAGAGACCGATCGGAGAGGACGGTGTTGTGTTGTATGTGTGTGTGTATGTGTTACCACGGCAGCGTGTTACGACAGAGTCACAGTCGGAGTTCCAACAGCGGACAGTCGGCCGTGTCGACGACAGGACATAGTTTGTTTGCCTTATACGCAAGAGGGGAAGATCCGTGAAACGATCGACGCGCGACGGCCACCGAGTGATCGACGAAAGGGAAATATCGTTGGAAGGTGATGAGGGAAAAACTCTGATAGATATCGTCGTTGGTGCTAACTAGTTGGAATCTGGTTGCGATCGTAGGCCGGCGGCCGGTGAAAGAGGAACACAGGCTGTCGCACCTGTGCGCGCGGACCGCCTCGGTCATTTTTCCCTCTGCCCTCGTGCCGATCGCGTACACCACTTCGTCCGGTGTCGTGTCGTCGTATGTGCGCCGCGACGCCGAGTGCCGTCTCGTCTGGCTGTCGCGAACGCGCCGACCAGTACGCCAGCCGAGGAACATGAGGACGAACATTAGTTGACGAAGACGCGCGTGTCCGGCCGATTGTCAGTTTCGCGGTCCCAGTCTCGGCCAGGTGCCGATCGAGGAACGAATGATACCGGTGTTAACCAAAGGGGGTTGAGTTTTATCCGTGAAACGAGAAACGAGTAAGCCGAAAGGCAGTGAAAACAGTTGTTCGAGGTGGAAACAGGTGAAACGTCGGATGGACTCGTTTGAGAGCAACAACAGCGAGGGGCGGAAGTGAGGGGGAGGAGGGCAGAAGCGTGACGATCGTCTACCGAGCTTTCCCGGCCGAAGGAACTGTTTTCCTTCCAACGTGGTCGTCGCCTCCCCCTTTTCTTCTCGCCTCCCCTGTAAAAGAAAAAAGAAACAAAAAGTTCGCGCGAAAACTCGTCAGGAAGAGGAAAATCATTCGACAACCGCTCGCTTCCGTCCTGGACGACGTTCGAGGGAAAGATCGCGTACGTCGAGCATAGATCGTGCGACGAAACACGAGGAAGATCGAGAACGTCACCATGAGGATCAAAATGCCCGCGGTCAGGATCGCGCAAGGTGAGTGAAAATCAGCGATAAATTGGATTCATTGTTTATCGCGAATCTTACCCGTCGCTCGACCGGATCGCGGCTCGTTCCTTTACCCGCGCGTGTCATTATTTTTGGATTTTGCGCCGGGTTCGCGAACGACGCGACCTCGACTCTCGTCGAAAACTTCTCAAGGTAGAATGAAACTTCTCTTATCGGGGAAATTCATGAAAATCGCTGCGTTTCCGGGGTACATTGCGATTGGTTAAAAACACTTTCGAATCGACGACAAAGTATCTTTCGTTCGATTCTTTGTAGTCGAAATTCGAGAGGACCCTCTTTGCTCAATTTAATCTGCAAGGAAATACGCTCTGTGTCTCTTTCTATATTGTAACTAGAATAAAAACTAGCCCAAAGTATTTACCGTTTGGTGAAAAAGTGTGTTGGGAAGTGTACAAAGGTATAGTCCCTTTGATCGTCTGTTTCACGTTCCCTAAATTCTTCAAGTATTTCTTCAAAATGTATACAGATATTTGAAAAGTTCGAGGAATCGCTCGGTCGCGACGAAAGGTCATTGAGAATTCAAAAGCCGGCACCGATATACAATCGTCGACGAATCTGTTCGATTTCTATGTACACAAATCAACAAGACGAACATTCAGGTTGTCGATCGGATAGCCGTAAATCGAGTCACGCGATCCCGCGCGCTTTCGATCCGAATCGCGGTTTCACCTTCGCCCTGATTGGCGAGGATCGTGCGAGACCACCCTTAACCGAGGCCCAAAATAGGACACCCTTGAAAGCTCCTCTCGGCGCGATCAATCAATTCCGATCGATCCGCGAGATCGTCCTCGTTCTCTAATTCGTTCGACCTTCTTCTCGCCTCCTTAACTCGCAATCTGTTGAAAGCGAGGGTGGCAAAAAGTGGCGTGGTAAAAGAGGAAAAAGAGAGAAAAAAAAATGAAAAAGAAGAATCACGGTGGCGGTCGCGTGGCGCGTAAGAATAAAAGAGACCGGGTCCGCGTGGACGTCTGGAGAAGACGCGAAAGAGCTTGGAAGAAGAAGAAGAAGAGGAAGAAGGGAGCGAACGAAAGAGAAAGGCAAGGATAGAAATGAATGAATGAATGAAAAGTTTGGAGGGCGGCGGGAAATGCGGGGTAGCAGGCCAACGTCTTCGAAGAACTCGTCGCCGGCTGAATTTTTAATTAGTCCCCGACACCGCCACCCCTACAGCGTCAGGGTTGGCAGAAAGGAGTCGGCCAAGGCGAAGGTGGAGAAAGAAGAGATCGAGGGGGTGGGGTGGACAAGGAGGGGCGGCATTGTCATGCGCGCGTTTTTCACAGACTTTTCCACCCCCGTCTGCCAGCGAGCACCCCCCTGTCGCTGTGCACCCTATCCCCGCGCGCCTCCGGCCACCGACACCCCCTCGCCACGACGGAAGGCAGCAGCAGCGACGGCGGCGGCGGCTCCGTTTTCTTAATTACAACTGCGATATTCTTTAGTTCGCGCGATGACGCCGCCGCGAAAAGATACCGGAATATTTCTGCACAACGAATTAACCCCGCGCGACCATCGAATCGACGGTTTTCTTTTAAGAATTTTCCGATCGATGGAGATCGATGAAGATCGTCGAGACGCACCCCTCCTTCCCTGTTATGGACAGATGTCTTTCGTGTACTTCCTTTGGATCGTGTGGTATCGGATAAACGGAGCTAAGGATTTTTATACTTTCGAGATGAGATTGGTCTTTGGGGTGATTTCGGTGTCTTGCAATGGTGATCGGGGAGCAACGTCAGTGTCGATGAGAGTGGTGTACGATGAGGCGAGGAGAGGAGGCTCGCGAGCTACGTACGCATGTCTGGTATGGAATTGTGAAATCACTGGACGAACGGATACGCCTCGAAAGCGACGTTTTTCAACAGACCTTGTCTCTGAACTAGATGCGTGTGATCTGGTAATGAGGAGGTGAGTCGGTCGGTTAGGATTCAGCTCCACTTTTTGACAATTTCAATAAATTCAAATAAAGTGTACAAAAGAATGAACTTTATAAAATTTAAAGACTAGATGAGATACTGGAAGATTATATGAATTTTCAAATAGATAATTACATCGACATAGATTAACCCTTGAGTGGCGAAGCCTGGGTCACTCGTGATCCAAACTTACAATGAAAATAATATGAAATACAAAATTGAATTGAAATTGTGGTTCTCTCTGTGGTCCGCCACCGGAGGGTTAATGCATTCTTACAATTATTTTTAATATTTGAGGCTACACTGCGGTCTCCACAATCCAAAGAACAATTAAAGGTGGTCCAAGCAATACTTAATGTATCAATTAATTAAAACTTGAAAATTAATTAAGAATGTCTCAAATTGTAACTGTATGTGTCTATTAAGTGTCGTGTAACATTCTTTTCAAAAATTGATTTTTCGGTGTGTGCCATATCTTTCTGTTTCAAATTTTCATAATTATTTAACCACTATTCATTAATTAGATATTAAAATTAAAATTGTAAAATCTTTAAATAAATTTAGTTCCAAATATTCAAGTTGTAACCTGACATTTATCCACTTGTGTTTTCCTATAATTTCAAAGTGTGTATTTTTTTTTTCTATACAGTTGAAGATAATTCGTTTGTCTAACGGTCAGGTTTAAGGTCGACGAGGCAGGGTCCGATTCCAGGAGAAGCTTCGAAATTTCTGTTTGCAAATGCGGATTATCCTGTTCCTTGGAAACGGACGCACGACTCCTGTTTACATCGCGATCATCCGCCTTCTCGCTCGTTCTACACACGGTTTAATGAAGTAAATAGATGGATACGATCACCTGACCCGTCGAACGGCAAATACGATCGCTTTTCAATTTAAAGGCCGCGATTTCGATAGAATCATGTCCTCGTAAGTTTCAGCGTTTCGATTATCGAAACGTTGAAGGAACTTGAGTTGCTCTCGTTTTTGACGGTGACACGTAGAATTCGCTTTCGATTTTCGTCGCCTCGGAAATTGCGTTTATCTTAACGCGACGTACAGAAAAATCTTTATCCGCGGACAATTCTTCCTATCCTCTTTAAGGATGTTTATTTTGTCCTGTAGATTTGTATCGATTAACTTCTTCTTTAAGAAATTTGAATAAATTTGAGAATCATTCTAAATATCAAATTTTGACAATGAAGAATAGATTGATTTTTGTTAATTTCAGGATTCATTTTTTTATTAGAAAAATTAAATTCGATAATTCGTCGTTGAATTTATAAATTTTTCTATGAATCATTGCTTTTACTTATTTTTGCTAGATCTATTACTTCCATAATTTTGTTGTCAATATTAATTAGAATTTTGAAGATAAAGTTCCATAATTATCGACAGTCATCGAATCAAAAGAATTTCGGTCTCTTTGATATTCAGAGAAGTTTGGGGATTTCTTCCTGTAGAATCATCGTCAGGTTCGTCCCTAAATTAATTTTCTTCACGCGTCGACGATCAACGATCAAACCTAATGTGCACGATGTAACGATCTGTTATCTGAACAAGCAAATTTCCAATTAAGATACGAATCGTGTATCGAGTGTATACTACTCGAAGATGACGCTTCTGTCTACGGAACGGCAAAGCAGCTGCTGTTTGAACGGGAAACGACATTGAATCGTGTGAAACGTTAACGACAAAAGGAGAAAATAGTTTAATGAACAATTTTCTATTTAATTATTCAGTCTAGAACAAAAAAAGAAATAAACTTCATTATTTTACATTACGTTGGAAGAAAGCTACTAATGGTAATGATGTATATTTTAATTAAATAAATTTTATTTCTTTGGAAGAGCAATGTTTTGAGAAATTCAAATCAAAAAAATTAATAATATAAGCAATAATCCTTTAATTAATTTGCAAACTCTCTATCTAAAACAGTAAACTTTGCTCCTAAAAATATAAAATGAGAGACGAACCATTAATTGCATCTCCCAAGCAACGTGAAAGCACCTCAAAGACCTAGTACGCACCAAAATGAATCTCAAGCTCTATACGGTATTATTATCAGGAACACGAAGCATCAGAGGGCGAGAAAAAATGTTATCACAGCACTCGCGGCGTTTTCGCTTCGCGAAAGTAATTTTATCAGCGGTTCGAAAGCGTGACTGGTTAATTGACGCAATTACGCCCGCATAGGCAGGACACCTCGCGTCGCGTCGGGTCCTGCAAAGCTTCGGCCGCGCGAGCTTCGATATCGAGCCGAGGTACTTTCGAGGATGTTATTTAGCAAACAAAGTGAGTTTTACGCGCCCCTGTCGGCACGTGCACGGCATATGCGCGTTAAATATTGTCTTTGATGCGGCCCGACGGAAGCCCTTCTTCTCTTTCCTCTTCCAACATCGAGGAACACCTCCCGTTCGTTCCGACGACGTCATCTAGGGAACCGTGCCTTGGATCCAGGCAAAAAACTACTTTGATTTGATTTCTTAGATTAACCTTTGGGCGCGTGGCGAAACCCTTCTTCTCCCTCTCATTGTGCTCTTCACGGCTCTTCTGGCTCCCGGTTGTCCTGGTTGCGCGACCGCTATCTACTATGGAGGAGCGAGCACGTGGCCAGGTAAAGAGAAGCGTCGCGATCGTGCACCGAGGGGATCGACTTTTGATCCCAGAAGCACGCGAGCCACGCAAAAACTCTTGGTAACACGAGTCTCGCTAATGGCGATATCTTTTACGGGCCAACAGGACAAGTCTCGACCGCCATCGCGGGAATGGAGAGGTTCTTTGCCTCCCGGAAGATCTGCCACTTGAATTATTAGGTTTATGTAATAGAAATAACAGTTTTCTTGCCGGAAGCTGGTGGTATCAGTTCGGAAGAATTGACAAGCTAGTATTTAGAAAATGTTCAGTCAGATATCAGAGGTCAATTAGAAAATCGTTATAGATCACTTCAAGATCTATTAAGTATTCACTTTCGCTCAAGTGCTTGGAACACTTCATTTCTATTACAAATCAATTGTATTTTAAAAATTGTAATCGTTTCAAATATTTCACTTAAAAGTA